AAAGAAATCTAATATTGCTTAGCAAGTGTTAGGATGATAAAAGTCCTAGTTCAGCTGGCAAATAACCTTGGAGGATGTAGTTGTGTGCAAAATTCTGTGTGTGTGTGTGTGTGGGTGTGTGTGTGTGTTTGAGAGAGAGAGAGAAGATTCTGCTTATGTATTGTTTTTACTAAAACTATTTGTAGATATGTAATATTTTATATGTGCATAGATAAAATTGTTTCATGTTTATAATAGTTATAATTGTTATTACCCCATGTAGGGTTCTTTTTTTCTGTAGGGCTGACAATGCTGTGGAAAACAAATCATAATTACTTTCACTATACTGAAACTGCTTATTTTCCAGTTTGTTCATTAAAACTTCTTTCTGAGACTGTTTTAATAATATACACTCTTGTAAAAGTTATGAAATTGACCTGGAGTTCTCAGAAAAAAAAATAAATGAGGCTACATAAGATTTGGACAATAAATTTCATTCCTTTTTGTAAAAATCATTTATATATCAACTTTATTTTCTCCATTAGTAGTGTTAGCCTTGGGTGTTTCATTTGTAAGATTTTTGTTTCATAGACATCCCTGTAAAATTTCATTGCTACATAGTTTTTGTTTACAAATTGAGGATGTAAACCTGAAGAACTTTTTCCAAGTGAATGAATATTGAGTTAGTGGGTAGTGAATTGTTACTTAAAACATTCCCAGATTTCTGTGGGTATCTTTCCCAGTTTCATAAGCACAGAATAACACGAATGCGGAGATGAATGTTTGAAGGAATTATTTGATTTGATTAGAAAATAATAAGCATTGACCTATAATTTTTCTAATTCCCTTTTCAAAACATCTGGGGAAATGGAGGAAATTTAAATGGAGCCAGGTGGGCTGGTAGAGTGGCTCAAGTGATGGAGCGTCTGCCTAGCAGGCATTGAAGCCCTGAGTTCAAACCCCAGTACCACCAAAATAAATAAATAAATGGAGCCAGGCTGTTGCTACCAAAATAATGTTTCTTAGTCTGTCCTCTTATGAGTAGTCTTATAAACAAGTATAATAGAAATACACAGTATACAGCAACAAAAAAGCCAGGCATGGTAATGACTAAAATAAAATTTCATTCCAGCAGATGCCAAACAATTCCTGTGACTGTTTCTTGCCTAGTCCTGGGTATTCATGTTTATCCATAAGCTAGGGTATGTTTTAGTTATTGTAAACATAGTTAATTCAAACTGATGTAGCATCATGATTTTAAGGCAATATGTGTCATTTTTAGTAATTTATGCATTATTTTAAAACTATAAAATAGGCCATATTTTATAAACTTTGTAATAATCTAGTTTTTGAATAAGTATCATACAATTTTGGACATGAATATGGAAGGAAAAATGTTGCTCTTCCACCATGAGTAGAGGGAGAAATAGAATTGTATAAAATAGAGTAACTTTTTTCATTACTTATTTCTTGTAGGAATCTCCAACTGCCTCAAAACCCTGCTTTCCTGAAAATGAATCTTCTCCCTCCTCACCAAAGCACCAAGATCCAGTTAGTATTATAGAAACATGCAGTATAATATAGTCCACTTATTTCAATCACTTTTGATAGATTAGTTTTCTCTAAATGTAATGTTTAAGTATTTCTTGGACTTCTATTAAATTTCATTGGTTTTTTAGAAAAAAAATTCAATTAAAACAGGTTTAAATTAAGATTCAGATTTAAAAGCTCTAATTTATTCATCATATCTAAAATGATTAACTTACATAACACATTTTAAGTGACATTTGTTTTTTAGAGATAAATACAAGAATTCCCAGAATACTATCAAATTATGCCTTAGATTTTCTTTCTCAGGTCAGCAGTCCAAAGGTAAGAAGTACTCCCCTTCTCCCAGAAGAGCACAGAAACCCTTCTTATTCTATGCTATGAACTACATTGCTCAGTCTATGCCAGAGACCATTGGAGATAATACATCTCAACTTAAGTTTTCCCTCTACTGGAAAACCAAGTGACTTCTCCTCTAACACCTGTCTTAACTTTGATGTAGTTTTACTTGATCAGTGTATTTACACTCATTCCTAATCTTCCCTGTCATACCGATCGTATTGTTGCCCTGCACTTGCTCTCCTCTTCTTTTAGAACAAAGTCCAGAATTCTTAATGAGGACAGCAAGACTGTGTGTGCTCTGGCTCTTGACTGTGCCCCCAGCCTCATCTCATGCTTTCTATACCATCACCTTCCCTTATTAATTGCTTTATTCCTGCTACATGGTGCTTCTTTGTGTCCCTAAAAGGAGCCTGCTTTTCAACTCAAGGTCTTTGCAAGTGTCCTTTTCTCTGCCACTGAAATGTTTCTTTCTCGCATCTTTGCTTCAGCTTCTCATTTATTAGGCTTCAGTTCAAACTTGACACTTCCTCAGAGAATTTTATTCCAATCCTATAGATTAGGTTCTTGTGCTCTCTTCATAGCACTTAATTATATTTTACTTGATTTCATAAAATAGAGTAATTCTTTTCATTTATGTTCTATAGGATTCAACTCTCTACTACTGTCTTCCCACTAGACAAAGAAAAACCTCTTAGCAGGAACAGAGTAACTGCAGTACCTGCCACAAGGCCATACAGTAGCTGTTCAGTATATATTTGCCAAATTAATAAATGAAACTTCAAAAACTTTCATGGTTACTTTTTTTGGTTATGAAATTGTGATAGACTGTTTATTGTTAGTAAGACTTCAGATTTCTTAGCTAGAGGCAGAGATTGCCACACCGACTCTTTTTTCCCAACTCTTCTCCATACCTGATCTTTTATGATTCTCCTAGTGTGTTGTACACATTTTCTTCTTTTTAAATTTTAAGTGACGCTTAATAATTACACATATTTGTGGGATACAGTGTGATGTTTCAGGTGTATATTGTGTAATGATTAAACCAGGGTATTGAGCCATAATCTGCCTCCTCAGACATCATTCTTTACACATTTCCTTCTGATGTTGACCTAGGTACTCACTCTGCGTAGAATGGGGTTTGGCTTTTGTACATGTACAGCTAAGTCCTACTCTTTCAAAACTAACTCTCTTAGGAGGTCTAGCCAGACTAACCTTTGTTATAGTAACCTCCATTACAGTGGTCTCTTCTTTACTTCTGGGCTCCCAAGTCATGTATTGTGTTGAATAAGCACAAGCTATTTCATGTACCCCAGGTCCCTCCACTAGGTTTTAAACTGTATGTAAGGGAATCTATTAAATAAAGGACAGATAGCAAATGTTATTTCTGCTTTTTATTTTCTGTATTCAGTATGGTATTGGGTCCATAAACATTGAAGTTTTAAAAGTGAACATGATTTTAATGGTTTGGCAAGTATTACTGTATGAATCTAAGGCATAGTTACTACTATACTCTTAATCTGTCAATCCATTGGAAGGAAAGCAGAAAAATCCTTTCTAAGTTATGTTAAACATAGGTAAATGTATAGAAAGCTCTTTTTTTAGATGATGTGTGTTTTGATGAAAGAATTTCTAAATTTTCCTAGAAGCAAAAATTTGTAAATATACATTCAGTTTCAGAAGACTTTTTACATATTATCTCCCCAACTGTTCATCATTTTCTGGTGTTTGACAGCAACTGTCCTGGACTCAGGGTACCCTCTGATGGCCACCTCAGGAACTGCCTCACCAGTGTTTATGTTTCCATCTTTTTTTATCTTCAGGTGGAAAAAAAAAAGAACTGTGCTAATTTTGCTGAAAGTCATTCTGCTTCCATATAAACAGTGCTTTTCCTTTCCTTTCTTTACAAATGCCACTCTTCCATGATGCCTTGCCTTTCCCACTGAGACTTTTGTCTTTTTGACTTCTCTTCTTTCCTTCTGCCCTCAAGACCCTTCTCTACTTGTCCTGTGCCTAGTCTTACCTCTCTCTTCCACTCTTACCTAGTTAGTACAAGAATATATTTTTCCCCATCTTTGTGAGTTAAGTTTGGGTTTGTATGACGTCTTAGTGATGAGGAAAAGGAAGCTCCAAGTTTAGAAGTAGAAATGATACCATAATGAGTGTTAGCTACCTGATGTTACCTTAAACTCTCTGCAAATTGTTCATCGCCTACTTCATTGTCTTCTAATTAAACAAGATTTAAAATTACATCCTTAATAGAAAATTTAAATATGTTACCTTTTACACTTTGTTTTCAATTTTCAAATGCATTATTTTTCATAACCCCATGAAATCTTTTTAAAAAATAGGCAGTATTTAAACTTTTTGAAAAATTAATGATTCTACAATATGATACAGTGTGGACTAACTAGGCTTTTATGGGCTAACCTAAGAAGCTGTTCTTTATTTTTTCAAGCTGCCTGTTAAGGTATTCACTTTAAAAAACACCTAATTATTGAATGCAGACTAATGTTTTAAAATACATAATTTGGAAACTTGAGCTTTTGTCATTGTATTTACAATCACTGTATTAAAATGCACAGTACTTTTTTAACAGCATTATTAGAGGACTAATTTTCTATTTTTAATTGAATATTACTTATTCTAAGGTCTTTTTTTTACAAACATGATTTGAATACCTAATTTTTTAAATATCAGAGGCCCTTAAAATTTATTTACTGAGGTAAAAGTCATATAATGTAAAATTTTAAAGTGTGTGATTAACCATTTTAAAGTGTGTGATTCAGTGGTATTTAGTATTTTGCAGTGAGTGCAGCTATCACCTCTGGTTACAGGACATTTACATCACCTCAAAAGGAAACCTACACCCACTAAGCATTTCCCTTTCCCTTTCCCCTGCCGTTGGTAGCAACTAGCCTGCTTCCATCCCTATGGGCTTACCAATTCTGGATGTTTCATCACACTGATTCTTTTTCAGCATTGTATCATGTGCTAGTTTGCTTATGATTTATAAAAAGAACCATATTGTCAGACATGGTGGTGCATACTGTGTAATCCCAGCACTCAAGAGACTGAGGCAGAAAGATCATGAGGTCTAGACCAGCCTGTGATATATAGCAAGACCTTGTCTCGAGGAAAAAAAAAAAAACCAAAAAACCAAAGACTTGAACCTTATTCCATGATTTTAGTATGATAATGATTTTGATGGACTGTAGGTTTTGTTATATAGTAATTGTTAGCCTTCATCGAGCAATGCTCATTTTACTGAATGAGTGCAATATTGATGAGAAATTTGGAGCTTACAAAGTAATTACGAACTTGTGAAATTCTCTTCAGATCACTTGCATAAGATGAGAATTAACTAACATTTTTTTCAGCTATGTCTATAGGTATGAGTTTTTCAGACAAGGCAAACTTGTAGATAATGTTTGAAAAATACTTTATCTCCCATACAAAAAGATATTTTCTGATTCAAATATGCTGAGAAAATACAGTTGAGAAAGCAGTTAAATAGAAAAAAATTCTGAATTAAGAGTTTTTTCTTTTGAGTATTTTGGGCATGAGCATGTGTTTCAGTTGAATTAAAATTGTCTCATGTATGTATAGCGCTTACTAACGTTGATAATTACTACTGACACCAATTCATTTTGGTCAGTTCTTTTGAGTTTTGGAAGCTAAAGCAGTGTTTCTTTATTTTCAACTAGAAAAACATTTAACTAGTGCAGTAGTTTTTGCCTTCCTAGAGTTTGATGGTAAAGCTTGTGTCACTATTTTGACATCACTTGGCTAATCTAGTTTTTTCAGAGCCCACCTCACCATGTGGTAGGATGTTTTAATGAAGCACATAGTGAGATTTTTTTTTTTTGCTGCATTAAAGCCAGTTCTAAGCAGAGGACCAGTTACTTTTGAGTAACTTGTGAAATAGTGACTGCATTTTGTTCTACGTAGTTACTTTTGCATTTCCAACAAAATGGTTATTAGTATATTATGTTTCACATTTTCATTTACTCTTTGCAGTATTTATCATTTTAGCGTTGTGTATCACTTTTGAGCAGGAAGACAGATCATTTTTCTGGTACTGACTGGTTCATTAAAATTTTAATTTGATTGCAAAGTAACTAATGGAAGAAGAAGAGGAAGTGTTTAATTATAAAATTACTGAAAATAAAGTATTAAGAAAACTATATTATTATACTCTAGAACTAAGCATGTTACATACTGACTAATCTTTTCTTTTAAGCTAGTGTTTAGATTACAAGTCCATTTTGGTTTTATTATATATTAGAACTTGGACCTCATTGTTTATACAGATGATATATAAACAGTATTACTCTGTCCCATAGGGCCAAGAGAAATATGGATTGTTAAATGTAACAAAAATTACTGAAAATGGGAAAAAGGTTCGGTAAGTACATAAGTCTTTAATGCTCTAATATAATTCATCTGATTGAAATAAGTGAAAATTATAGTTATATTCTAGTAGAAGCACTGAGAAGGTTTAGAAGAATTTCTAGTCGTATTTTTCTAGTGTAAATAATGGAAGATTACATTGAAATTTATGAAACTTTTGTCTTGATGTATTTTTAAGTAATATTAAATTCAGAGATAATAAAATGGCTTAAAAAAAAAAAAACCCAAAGTACACTAAGTATTAAGTGAAGTCAGTCACTCATCATCAGTTTCCCCTCTCCAAAGGCAACCAGTTTTGAGTCTCATGAGTTTTAGTGCTTTTCTCCAGAGAGAGGACATATGTAAATATATGTAGATTAAATTTTTTGACCTAGTCTTTTTACAGTTTGTCTCCTAATGGTTCCACTTCATTGCATGTAGAGGATGTTACATTGTTTTTAACTGCAGCATGCTGTATCACTGTACCATAGTTATTTTGAACATTTTTTATATGTAAGTGTGAAACTATGCCTGTTTTTAGACATTCAGAATATTTACAGTTCTTTCTATTACAAAAAAATATTACACTTAGCATTTTGCATAGTTTAAGTGTGTAAATATGCCTGTAGAATAAATTTTACAAACTTGGCATCATTGCTAGGTCATATGCAAGGTCATTTTCATAAAGTGTATCAAATTGTGCTTTTAAGACACTGAATAATTTCCTACCTCCAACAGTAATGCATTTCCCACATGTTTTGCCAAATTGGCTCTGTTGTCATATTCTTTGGTCCATGCCAATAGATTAAGGAGAAAATGATATGTTTATTTGCATTCATTTTTAGTGGAGAACCATAAGCCATTTGTATTTCTTTTTTGTTGAATTGTCCATTTGTATGCAGTCTCCAATATAGGAGGAGCTTTGTTTTTCTATTAGGTTGTTGGAATTTTTTTTTGTTGTTATTGATGTGTCATACCTCCTAAAGAGTTAAGGAAATTAAATTACATTTTCCCCAGGTTTAAAAAAGCTGCTCACATGTTGTGATTTTATAGTCAAAACAAGGTCAGTCTGCTAAGAAAGAGTTTCAAATTTATAAATAGTTGAACTTTTAAGTTTGCTTTCATTGAACTCTATTTGTCAGATTGGTATTTGGATGTTTTTCTTTTATATACTCTGAGACAACTTTACAGATACTGCAATTACATGTTCCTAAAGCTGTTCGTTGGTAGAATTCATTTATGAATTGGGTCTTTATTTTTCTTTCTGTTTTGGGCATAGGTAATGTGGATAGTTCTTTGGCTGTTTTCTCAGCTTTGGTTGGTTGGTTTTTGTATTTGTATTGGGGGTTTGCTGTTTCTTTGGTTGGTTTTTTGAGACACAATCTCTGTGTAGCCAGGCTGCTGTGGAACTTATGGTCCTCCTACCTCACTGTCCCAAGTTCTGGGATTATAGGTGTGGACCACCACACCTGCCTTTTGTCTTTTTTTTTTTTTTTAATTGTTTTTCCTGGGATAGTCTTTTAGATTTTCTATTACCTTTGGAATACTTTTTTAATTTATGTTTTCCTGAATATCCATTTCATAATGCTCAAATTTATTTAAAAGAGTTCAGCAAAATAGTCTTTCAATATCCTATATATTAGGAACTATGCAACTTTTTGGCCTGAAATCCCCTTTAAACTCTTAAAAATTGAGTATTCCTAAGCCCTTTTTGTCTTTTATTATAAGATACTTACCGTGAAAAATTAAAGCTAAGAAATCTTAAGAGTACTAATTCCTTTGAAAATAATCAATTTACAGACTGACTGGATTAACATTTTGTGAAGAAAAGAAATCCCATGTTTTCAAAGATAAAAATTTCCTTGAGAAATAGGCACTGTTTCTCACTTTCACAAATATTTGGTATTTGGTTTAATGGAAGATACCTAAATTCTCATGTCAGGTTGCAGTCAGTGTGTTGTAATATACTAGTTTGATTGAAATACATGAAGATACTCCTCCCTTACATAGCGAAAGTTAGAAAAGATAGGAGTGTTTTAATAGCCTTTGAAGATAATTGTGCATATTTTGCTGCTGGGGTAGTTTCTTAAAAATTAGCAGTGAGGACTGAAAAACTATCAATGAATTTTTCATACTCAGTTAAATTAAAAACCATTCGCCTTTGTGCACTTGTGAATCTTTACCTATGCATAATTTTACAGTGTGTTGTAGATCATTTGGAAATACTGGTTCATTGAGTTTGCCCATTTTTGAACTGTTTACACATTTTTATCAGTGATATCAGCAAAATCATTAGACATTGGAAGATTGTTAAATTTACAATGGCAGATGCCATGTTTTCCAATTTTGTTTTGTTTTTTAGTTTAAAAGCTTTAAATTTTTTGGTTTGATTAAAAACCATGCAACATTAATTTTACTGTCTTAGGCATGCAACTTGGTAATGCCATGTGTATGCACATGACTGTGTAGCAGGTCTCTAGGCCTTCTTCACTTCTTGCAGTACTAAACCCAGGTCCCTTTCTCATCCCTTGGGAAGCACCTTTCTACTCCATTTTATGATTTGGGCTATTAAAGCATCTAAAGTAGAATAGAGTATCTGTGAGTGGAATCATACAGTATTTTGTATGCTTTTGTTACCAGTTTTTCCTCAGGGTTTATGTATGTTGTTAAAAGCTTTAATTTTTTTATTACCAACAGATATTGCCATTCATTGTCTTTGACTTGAGATGCGCACATCATTTGTTTATTAGATAGTCTCCCTGCTAAATGCTATCGTCAGAATAGCCATAGCATACCCATCAGTAGTTGTTTTTGAGGAAAGATATACTAGGTTTGGTGAAAAAACTGATTGATTCAGCTTGCAACTCAGTGCTTCACAGTCCTTGAAGCAGTGAATATTAGTATTCAATTTTTCCACATTCGTTTCCACATACATATTTATTCTTCAGTTTTTCTGATTTTGAAAATTAGGCTAAAAGGTTTTAGTGGAAATATGCATGTTTCTTAATAGGAGCTCAATAGATGATATAAAAAGAGAAAGAAGCCTTAGAGAATAAGATAAATTTACAAATAAAAATAAGTCATTTCTGCTGGAGGCTTGGCTCAAGCGGTAGAATGCCTGCCTAGAATTCAAGCCCCAGTACTGCCAAAAAAAAAAAAAGTCATTCCAAAATATCTTAAAGAGATCCACACAAAAGGAAATGATAAAATGTTTAGTATTATGGTGGCAGAACAAGCAACCAAATACATTTAACATACTTATATCAATAAATGCAAATGCATTATACTCCTCTGTTGAAACCAAAGGTGCTATTGAAACAAAGCAAAGCCCAATTAAATACAAGATATAAAAGAAACACATTGGCTCAGAAAAGTTGTAAAGCAGGAATAGGGATCTTAAAAGCAGTTTTATCTAGGGGAAATAGCACTAAGCATTACCAGTGTGGGTACTTTAAAATGATGCAGTGTTGTAGATAAGTCCAAAATGTAGACATTAAGTATATAGTGATTTACCAAAATAAAGTAGCATTAACAACCAAACACATAAACTATGGGAAATACATGTAAAAATACAAATCTAGTCATGATTCTGTTTCATTTCTCTTTATCCATGAACTTGAAGTGAGTATGAAAAGTGATAAAATAATAAAGGAGTTCTAATTGACAGGGATTAAATTCTACACTATGAAAACAGAAAATGAATGTCCTTTTGAGTGCCTGTAGTTTTCATCAAACCAGCTGTATGTTTGGCTATAAGAAAAGTCCTAATAAATTCCTGTAGTAAAATGAATTCAACATTCATTTTATCCTCCTAGCACCTAGTTCGCTTTTTAAGATCATTTTGATTTATTTCTTTATTTGCAAACATTCATCTATACCTGCTGTTTCAAAAGTACTTTGCTAGTACACTGTTTCTGCCTTCAATAACTTACAACTCCAATGTTAGACATGCGAAAATCTCAAGTATAGAATTAAAGATAATGAAGCAAGGAAGTTGAGTAGAATCTGGCCAGGGCATAATATTAGTCAGCTTTAAAGTTGTAAATAGGAACACCAGTAATATTGCACATACTCTGTGTGACTCTTATGTCTGCATCTGGATATAGGATGGTCAATCAGTGGATAATTTCTTTAAATGTTACATGTGTGCTAAAATCCTAATGGTACTGAGGTTTGAACTAGGCCTCATGCTTAGCAGGTGCTACAACACTTGAGCCGTACCCGAGACCTTTTTTTTTCCTTGTTTTTTTAAAGTTACTTATACAGATAGGGTTGTATGCTTTCTGTGTGGAGGCCAGCCTCAGACCATGATCCTCCTACCTATGCCCTCCCAACAAAGCTGGGATTGCACGTATGCACCACCACACCTGGCTTGAGTCTCATTAACTTTTTGTCCAGGCTGACCATGAACCATCATCCTTCCAGTCTCTGCCTCTGCAGTGCTTGGGATTACAGGCATGCAGCACCCCATCTGGCTGCTGCACATTTCTATATTAATAGTTTTTACATGTATATGTTGCCTTTTTAACTTTCTAATTTTAAAAATCCTATCTTAGTAATAATAACTTCAGTGATCAGTACGTAGTTTATTATACAATGTAGTTTATTATATAATGTATTATATACTTACTATGTGTTATTAATGTGTCTAGTATCAATACCTGTCTAGTACAGCCCTGTTAGGGGAAGGGAGATAACCAAGATATATAAAATAGTCTGTACCTACTGAGAATTAGATGAGTGAGGTAAGCAAACGAATTTTTTATTGTAAATAAAAATTACTCTAAATATGTTCCGTTTGTGTGCCTTAAAATTAAAATTATATGTCCTTGGTCACAATGTGCTGTGTTATTGTTTTGTTCATAGTTATTCTCATATTTTATATTTCTGATTAATTCCATTGGTTTGGGGGCCTTCACGATTAGTTTGGTACCATAAAATGACTATAAATTTCTTTCAAATTGTACCTCCCTTGAAAGTAGTGAGAACATTAATAATGACTCTAAACTCTAGAGAAGTGGTAACAACTAAGTACGTTTTTCTAACATTTGGTTGGATAGTAGAGCTTTAATTCCTTATCTTTATAATTGTAGAAAGAACTGGTTATCTTCTTGGGCAGTGTTGCAGGGTTCATCGTTGCTTTTTACCAAAACTCAAGGAAGTAGTACAAGTTGGGTAAGTATATCTTTATGGAGGCCTTATATTGTTAAATTATGTATTATACCTGACTTTCAGGAAGTAGTTTTGAAAGTCTTTCTAGTTACAGCAAGCATGCATATAGAAATAAACATAAGCTTCTTAAAGCTATGTTTTGACTCATAAGAGAAAGAAGACTAATTAGAGAAGTTGAATTAGTTGCATTATTAAAATTCACATGTCCTCTTCTATACACTAAAGTGAAAGGCATTATAGAACAAAGATTTTTCTTGATTCATTTATGGGTGTTAAAATTTTTCTGTGTTTGTGCTTCTGCCATTTCAGGTATTAAATAGAAAATAAGCAGGAATGTGGCAAGGCCCACCTTGTGTTGTGACCTGATTGAGGTTTTTATGTCTGTGCATAGTGGCAGTTAGCTTTTAGAAGAAAAAGAAATGTCACCATGACTTGTGTAACTTTGATGCTTTTTGTATATTCCAGCGTTTGCTATTGTTACTTGTAATACTAATGCTAAAAATTACAATTGTGACATAATTGCTAACATTTTTGAATGCCTAACATGTACCAGCTGTTCTAAATACAGAAGACTATGTGTAACTTAAGCTGTGGGATAGCTCTGTATTTCTTCTCCTTTCCCCTGTCGTAGATGGAAAAATGAGGTATAAAACAGCTAAACAACTTGCTTAAGAGCTTACAACTACTAAGACAGATCCAGGCTTAGAACTGTGGTATTTTGGCTCCAGAGACTATGCTCCAGGGATGTCTAAGAATTTTCAGAAAATGAGTTTCAAACGTTAGTGTTCAAATAAAAATCTTCTGAAGTATTTGGTCTGCTTCATATCCTACTCTAAAGCCAATAACATTTTCTAGTAATTACTAAGTTTCTTATAAAATGGACACAGAGCCTGTGGATCCTGTGTTTGATGAAAGAGAAATTGATTTATAAAGCTGAACCAAATTTTAGTCATCTACATTTATTATGCAACCATGTAACATTGTTCTGAGCCTTTGGAACTAAGAATGCCACAGACCATGTGTGCTGAGTTGCTGTCACACAGTAACCTAAAAACAATGAACTGAGCATGAAGGTGAACATTCTAGAATATTTCTTTTTTACTTCACTAAACCTTTGATTTGCTCTCTGTTTGCTTAGCATGGTAGAAATAACCTATGATATGCTTTCATATCAAAAAAATAGAAATTTTGGTTTGTGTAACAGAGTAGATTGATCATTATGTCTTCCTCCTTTTCAGAGGAGAGCATATGGTGCTTTTTTGTGTGTGTGTGTGTTAATACATTTCTAGACTAAGTAATTTCTTCTTCATCCCTACTTGTGGCTCAAAATTGAGTGAAGAAAATGGATGAAAGAAATGGAGAAGCAGTTAAGGGGTTAATAAATAATAAACACAGTACCTGAAACAAGCTGCATAATGGTTATTTATTTGACAAGTATTGATACTTAGAGATTAAAGGGTATACATCAGATAAAGCAAGAGGTATCATTTAGATAGGCAGGTTTGCAGTGTGACTTAAAGAAAATGAAAACCTCTCCAGTTTAAAGATGTCAAGTTAATATCCCAGCACATAATCATTTACAGGATGGTTGCATTTTATTTGAAGTTTCCATTGTAAAACCCCTTACACAATTCAGACGAGATCAGGCACATTCAGGGTGGTATGGCCCTAGACTCCCTTACACATTTCAGAGCTTTGAATCAAAACATATTAACACTGACAAAAGGAAGGTAGGTACAAAGCTTTTCTATTTACTCATTAATGTGTTACTATATTACCATGTGGCAATAGTAAAACAGTTTAAAATTTTCTGATATAGCCAATTTTGAAATTGTGCAATTCTTTTTTTTTTTAATTTGGTTGTACTGGAGTTTGAACTCAGGGCATTGTGCTTGCAAAGCAGGTACTCTACTGTTTGAGCCATACCTCTATTCAGAAATTGTACAATTCTTAGTGAGTTTTTAATGTTAGAGATTTTCACTATTTGAATTTTTACCTTTTGTGAAGTTTTACTATTATTGAAAATTAAATAATGATTTCAGGTAGACATAATTAAATAAAACACATCCACACTATCCACACTGTGTTTTTTTAGCCTCTAGAAAGACTGAAAAGACCTAGAATATGGTAAAATACTTGGTTCTATAGTTAATTCTTAATTTTTTATTTTATGACTAATTTTAAAACCTCAGACTGCCTTACTTTACCCATTCCTATTTACTAAGGGCATGAAAATGACATTAGATGACCCAAGTAAAAGCAAGTAATATTTAAATAAAAAGCTTGTGAAACTGTATAATGTATTTTGGTAAATGTTACATGCATTAATATCAAAATTTGGTGAAAAATGCAAGATACTCCTTAACTAACTCTGAAATTGGAATTGTAGAAAAGGATTTGAAAGAATTCTCATTTTGTTTCTCTGCTCAGTCGCCAACTAGATCTGTTGTAGGTAAAAATATATCTCATTTCTACAGTGGAACCACAACTTATCTGAGGATGAGAGTCTTGTATCCTTTAAGTTGAATATGGATAGTTTATATTAAAGGGGCACATTATAAGAGAATTTATATTTGTTAAAAGTAGATTCACAATGTAAAAACCTAGAGATGCAGTTGAAGAAATAGGTTCATGTCTGTTCACTCCAGGACACGTGCTCAATGACGGAATGCTGAGCAAATCACCCACACTACTCAGAATTCTGTTTTTTGAATCATTTGTGTGTTGTATTTAACTTTTTATTTCTTTTTGCACAGATTATTAGAATTAAATTAATGAAATACACATATACAGCTTACAATTGCATTTTACCAGATAAATTTTACTTAGATGCTGTGTCATCCAAAACTCAAGGGAGCCTTTCCTTCTTTCTTCCTTAGAATAGTTTTCTGGAAAGTACTAGTTATCCACACTAGACAGACTGTTCTATCTGGTAGTAACAAGAACTTAAACACTTCTCCCCTCACTTCATTTCACCTCAGATGTCTGTACATGTGTGTGTTTCTTCAACAGACATTAAAAACCTGCAGTGCTCTGGGCATTATGTAAAGCTTGAGGCTTTAGAAGTAATTAACATGGTTGGTCTTCAGTGCTTTCATTGGAGTAAGAAAACTGGCAAGTGTGAACAGTTACAGTATGACATGTTACTTTTGTGTTTCCCCTCATCATTTGTCATTAAAAGTATTGAAAAGCCACCCACAAATATCAGTAGTTATTCAAACATGCATTTATATATGCTTTCAGTTTTCTAAAAACGATCACTCTTTTAAGCCAGATAATGCTTCATTGTTAGGGCTGTCCTGTAAGTAACAAGATGTTTACTACATGACTGGTGTCCCACCCCTAGTTATGAGAACTAAAATGTCTCCAGACATTGCCAGTGATCCCCTGGAGGACAAAATCACCTCTACTGTGAAGGAAGAAGCTGTATCCTAAAGGAAAGGGAAGGCAACCTAGGTGGCAAGACTACTTTGAAGAGATGACTTGGAAACAGATCAGAGAACATTCCCTACTAGGCCACTAGGAGGAGAAGGCCCAGAGATCTCTGAGCAGGGGACTGAGCAGCATGGGTAGAGGCCTACATAAGAGTTCTTCTGTTATTTCTCAAGTATTCTGTTGTGAATATAGGCTAAGACACCTCTTTGTGTAGGTCTGTAAAGTATTCATCTTAAAAATAAACATGAATTTATGTGATAACAAAGTCAGAAGATATTCTGAGTTAAGTTCTAGGGCTTTTGAAAAATACCTGAAAATTCAGCTTTGCTTGTGTTGTGTCTGCTTATAGAATTATATTCCTGTCCTATCTAGTTCCGTTATGCTTTTTTTCTCTTGTGTGCCATTTTGCCATTGTGTATAGTTATGACATCATCATTTTCTTCCCTTTTCCCATCAAGTCATTTTGCCAACAGGGCTCAATCTCTGAGTTCTTGCTTTCGCTGCTTTCTTCTTGGAAAAATTCTGTCAGTCGTCGGCCTGCTGTCACATATGTAAAGTCTGATCCTGTTTCAGCTGTCACTGTATGTGTTCTTGTTGCATACCCTTGCCACAGTTTTTTTTTTTTTTTTTTTGCCATAAATACATTGGTGGGAGGTGATTCTAGTAAAGTGGGACTAAGTTTTAGACTGAATAACAAAAAAAAGGTTGCCAGCCATGTTGATACTGTTTTTCTAGCATGCCATGTCATACCATTGTATTTAATTGGTTGATTATTTGTATCTTAGATTACAGCTAACTGTCTATATATTGACAACAACTTAAATGGCTTTTTGATATTTTGTTAAATATATATTCAAGTTTTATAACTTTTAAGATCATTTCTGCTTACGAAGTTACTGTGCGTATCACATAGCTTTATGGTTCATTAGATATTTTGTGAATGACAAGGTTCTTGAAAAGATAGACTGTAGAAAAGTGCAAATTTTTATTATATTAATGATTTCACTAATAACTTCCATATTACTCTTACTTTTGTTACATTTTAAAGTCTAAATCATGAAAAAGATGTAGTAAAAGGAAACGTTGAAGTCTAACCATTTCTTAAGTGTGAAGCTTCTAAGTAGACTTACTGACATTGCAAATAGTGCATAGTGAATTCCCATAACAAGTATAATTTGACTTGGAAATATTTCAGCAAATGAACTTCCTTACATCAAGTATAGTAAATATTTATAATAATTCTTTATGACCTTTAGATAATTGTTAAACAGCCCTCAGAAGTTTTAAAACATCCAAGCCTTTCAGTAGTACAAGTACTGTTAACTAGCAGACTGAATAGAAATTTAAATTAGTGATGGCAAGATGAAAAGTAAGTATATATTAAATGCACATTTTCTTTTTGCTTATCTTTTCCTAATATTGTTAACAAAATACAGTAAATAGTAAGTGCCTTTTCTTCTTAGCTACCATTTCAGCCATCTCCCCATTCTTTTCATGGTTCAGGTGCTTTCGGCTTTATAGCATCTGACTTTAGTTTTGATTTCTAACAAAGGCTGAATAAAAGAAGATGGGGCTTTTTATTTTAAGAAGTTATTATCAGTTAGTTGTTGACAACATAACTAGTCTAAGGAAATAACTCTTGGAAGCACAAAATGGGATTAGAAAATGTTTATTAGGTTGAAAATGCCCTTGATAGCTGCCTGATACTATTTATACATGTATAAGAATGTTGCTTTGCCTTTTCAAACATGTTATTTTTACATAGCCTTATATAGTCTAGGATAAATCCCAAGAAGTAGAATCGTGAAGACAAAGTATGCATGTGTTTGTCAATTTCCAAATAATAGTATTACCAAATTTCTTTCTCTAGAAGTTATTGTATCCCACTTACATATGAGGGCCCAGTAGCTTATATATTGGCTCACCAACATGTTGTATTTTTTTCTACTCCGATAGGTGAAAAAATATTTCAGTGTAGTTTATTCTATCTATACATACATAATGTATACATACATACTATGAAGGAAGTTGAGTCATTTTATTTCCTTTTCTATGAATTTATACTGCTAGACATTTTTCAGTTTTAAAGTAGGAATTGTTATTTTAATAATACAGAAAGATGAATTCAAGATAATCTGTTTGACTCACTGTTAGTGTAACTTGGTCTTAATTCTTTTGAATACACATATATGCATGAATATCACATAAAGGTTTTCCCCTTTTTCTAAAATGAAGTTTGGGAGTAACCAATCCAAACCAGAATTCACCGTGGACCTCAAAGGGGCAATGATTGAGATGGCATCAAAGGATAAATCCAGCAAAAAGAATGTATTTGAGGTAATACATTTTTTAAAGTGTAATTCACATTCTTTACTTTCAGTAACATTCTGTTTTAGGGTTATTTGGATGAATAGACTTTCATTGTAACTAGTTAAGTCAATTTGTATCATAACTTAATGAGGAAAAGGTGGTGTAAAAATCAGCTTTGTTTACATAAGTTAGCATATTTGACAAGATTTTATAAATCCTGCTTTTCCCTTGCAATTATAAAAATTGTGTGGTTCCATTCACTTACAAAATTTAATACTAGAAAATGAGGGAGATATTTTCCCACCTCCTTCTCAGTTTTCCTGTGGACCTAAAGCCAGTCTAAAGAAGTGAAGTCTTTTTTTTTTTTTTTAATTAAACCTTTCCATTTTGTCATTCAAATTTTTCTGCAGACAGATCACTCAAAACTTAGCATCTTAACAAAAGAGCCATTTTATTTGCCCCATTGGCTGAGCTGAGCTGGATGATTCTTCTGCTCTCACTTGGGACACTTCATGATGCTTGAGTGAAACTGGATGGTTTAAGGTGATCTCATTCACCCATGTGTCTGGTATCACTATTAGTTGTTAAGTAGACCTCTTTCTCCATGAGATATCTTATTCTCATTGAGGCTTCCTCAGGCCTCTTCACATAAATGGTCAGGGCTCTAGGAGGGCAAAAGTGGACACAACAAAGCTTCTCAAGGCCTGGACTTGGAAGTCACAACACTTTCCATGTATTCTGCTGCCTAAAACAGTTCAGAAGGCTAGCCAGGTACTCAGGGTTGTTGAAAGTGAGAGTCCACTGTCGACGGAGGAGCAGCAAAGTCCCACTGCAGAGGCTGTGTATACAAAGGTTGAGGAAGTTTTTGGACTGTCTTTGAAAATTGTTTTCCACATCCTGACCTTCCTTGAGATAGCCTCATGTCTCAGGCCTGTCATATCTCTTTGTCTAGGCAGATTGCTGTTTTCCAGATGAGTCTTAAGTGATTTTTATCTTTATTACTCCACCTTGACTATTCCCGTCTCTGCTTATTAAATCTTATTTTTTAAGAACCATAGCAAACACCACCACAATGATTTTCTTTTTCTTTCTTTTTTGATGACACTGGGCATTGAACTGAAGACTGCAGTTTTAGGGAGGCACTCTGCCACTTGCCACACCCCCACTCCTTTTGCTTTTAGTTTGTTTTTCAGGTACGGTCACATGATTTTGCCCTGGCTGGCCTCAGACTGTGATCTTCCTGAGTAGCTGGGATTATAAGCATGGACCAACATGCCCAGTCTTGTGATGCTACTTAAAAAAAAAAACAAAACACTAAGGTCTTACTTATTTTAATATACTTTGGGTTGACACCAGTTACAAAGTGTTCCCCTTGCTAGATTATTAAAATGGTTTTGTTTTGCCTTTAAGTAGAGAAGCTATTTTTCCTTTGATTAAGAGTCTCTAGCTGGGCACCTGTGTCTTATACCTGTAATTCTAGCTACTTGGGAAGCTGAGATCAGAAGGATTGTGGCTCAAGGCCAGGCCTAGCAAAAAGTGTGAGACCTCATCTCAACAGATAGATGGGTGAGGTGGTATGCACCTGTCATCCCAAGCTATGTGGGAGGCTGAGACCAGCAGTTCCAGACCAGCCCAGGCATGTTTTGCAAGACCCTGTCTCAAGGGAGTGAAAAACGTGGTGGCTCATGCCAGTCACTCAGCAACCAGTGGGAAGTCTAAATAAAATAGGATCACAGTCCAGGTGACCTGGAGAAAAAGCAAGACCCTGTCTCCAAAATAACCAGAGCAAAAAGGGCTGTAGGGGCATGGCTCAAATAGTAGAGCACCTGCCTCACAAGTGCAGAGCCTTGCGTTCAGACCCCAGCGATGTGCAGTGAACAATTAAATATTGGTTGCCTGACCTGACCAACTCTAGAAAAATACATAAAAACAAGCCACTGTTTCCTGATACAGAATGAAAAAAATTCCATGTCAAATAAATGTGGAAAATCTTGTATATTTTATCCCTGTCTTAGAAAATCACAGTGCACTCCAGAACATCAAACCCCTGAGGTCTTTAAGTCTTTTTAGGCTTTCTTCAATACAGTATTTTCAAAATTAGTTTATATTTTTAATTTAGTTTTTCAAGGAATATCTTTTTTAAACATTACTTGGGGAATTATGTTTGAGGAAAATGCTTCTCGGAATATTGTTTGGGAAACACTGCCATATGTTCCTCTAAGGAAAAACAAACTCAGTTATCCACCAGAAAATGTGAAGGATATTTTCCACAACTGCCCCAAAATTCTTCCACAGTGAACTGTAAGAAGCTTTGAACCAAAGAAATGATAATGTGCATTAGTTGCTAGCTTCATATAGAAGAACACATACTCTCCTTGCTTCATTTCATGACTTGAAACTTAATTTAGGAATATTTCTGCCCAAAAGGGAGTGACATTTATTGCTTGTGGCCTGTCTTAGTACTGAGCTACTACATTTGCTGACTAAGTAGGAAATACTGAAAATCTATCCCTTCATTTAATCTTTTTCTATATTTTTATAACCAGAAAAGTTTCTCAGGTTATGTAAAAATATCATAGGATTTTATTTCTTTACGAATGGCTTTTCAATTTTAATTGTAGGTACACAACTTTGACATTTACTTTTAAATGCTAAACTATGTTAGTTTCAGCAAATTTTATGGTAGTTGTGTGTGGAATTTTGAGATCCTAAATTGTTAGATTTTAAATGAGACTTTATTTATAAAATAACTAGTAATATTTTACACTGTAATAAAGGATATTCTATAACTATTCAGTATATTTCATTACTATTAATACATGGCACATAGTCTGGTGGTTTCATAAACTTTGAATTAAATGTTTTCATTTATTTTGTTGGATACTGACCATACTCTTCCTCCATCCCTCCCTTTCTCTAAAGCTGAAAACTCGTCAGGGAACAGAACTGCTAATTCAGTCTGATAATGATGCTGTTATTAATGACTGGTTTAAAGTTCTCAGTAGTACTATTAATAACCAGGTATGTGTTGACTTAGGTGAAAATTTATTGTAGAGCTGTTTTCTTTTGGTTTTCTAATTGCTTATTGCATATCCAGACCAATTTATATACAAAAAGATGATGCTATATTTTTTTCAGAGGTGGGAAAGACAATGATCACTCAGTCACTCCAGGGGCTGGTTATGTAGATTTAACATTCTCACTGATAACAGTGTTTGCTGCCAGTGTATTTGGAATAATGCTTACCTTAGGCAGTGGTTGAAAAAGAAGCAAAGAGACAAATAATGTCTAGTATATAGTATTTACTCAGTGGCTGAATAAGTGGAAATTGGTCCTAGACAAAATCATGAAATGAATACAGTCATAGTCTCTACCTTAGCACTTTTTTCTATTCTAGTGACACTTGTCTAGTTTTTGTGCCCCTTCCTTCTGAAGGTGTTCATTACTCTCATATTCCTGAATAAATTTCTTAATTATATAGCCACCCAAAAGAACTTGAAATTTATGTCCTTAAGCTGTGCTAATAAAAAAACATTAATAAGGCAGCTAGGGACTATATATTTTTAGACTCTGTTCTTACCTTTCACCATAGAGTGACATGGCTTATCACTTGAGTACCATGTCAGTGACAGAAATGAAATAAAAGATAAGGAAAAAATTTCCTCTTAAAGAAAATTAGTTGTCAAAAACAGGAAAAAAAACCCAAAATTAGTCAAGAAGCTATTTATATGTTTTTATTTTCTTTGTAGTTTGTAATATTGTATGGTATTTCTGAATCTTGTCCCTTCCTTTCCATTTATTCCTGAAACCATGGGCAAACTGTTGTATCTTCATAGTACAACAAGAATAACCTTCTAAACAGTTTCCTTTATTTAACCCACTGATCCATTCTTTTTTTTGAGTGGGGGAATGAGTGCTGTCAGTAGACACTAGAGCCTTGTGCATGCTATACTAGGCAAGCACTCTGCTGCTGAGCTACATCCCCAGCCCCAAAGTATAATTTTTTTTTTGCATATTATGGTCCATTCTTAATGTCATTGTTACATGAAGCTTCCTAATGTTGATTTTATAATCCTCCACTACTCAGATACTTTCTGTGACTCCCATTAAGCAGGGGTCAACCTGGTCAGGGAGGACATTACAGGGAAATTGCTGCTTGGTTTTGTTTTGTTTTTACTTTCTTTAAAATGAGGCCTACAGGATTAGGGTATACTTATACTGTGAAGTTTTAAAGTATACACTGTACCATAGTGTCAAGAGACACCAAGGAGTGCAAGTAGCAAGAGATGGACATGACCCCTTCAGGAAAAATTAGAAGGAAAATCACAAAACTTCATTGAGAGGCATCAAGGATAAAACTAATTAAATGAAAAGTACATTGTTTTCATGGACTGAAAGATTCAGTCATGTAAAGATGTAATTGTCTTCCAAATGACTTTATAAATTTATAGATTTGAGATTTTTTAATTTCATTCAAAATCCTAGTTTTTCTGGTAGAACTTGAAAAGTGTTATTCTAAAATTCATACAGAGATACAAAGGACTAAGAAATACCCAAGATACTCTTGAAGAAGAAAGTAAAAGGACTTGCTGTATTATATCAGGACTTTATAAAGATAAATTAATCCAGCATGATAACCATGCAAGGATAGAAATACAGACCTGCAGAAAAGAATAAAGAACTTACAAATAGACCACATATGTGGACACTTTTATACCAGGTACAGCACTGTAGAACAGTGTGAAAATATTCTTTTCAGTAAATAGTGCTGGTACAGCTGGATGTCCACAAAGAAATGGGAGTCCTTCCTGATGCAAAAATTTATGCAACAATAAATTCCAATGTAGTAAAGACCTCAGTGTGAAAGTTTTTTAGCTTTGAGAATTTAGTCAAGGTTTTTAACCTGTACAAGTTACCTTGATGAGGCTATTGACAAGGTTTAGGATTTCTTTCAATCCCCAACATCAGTGAGTCTAAGTCTTGCACTATTATCACAGTATAATACTGTTGTCTTACACTGTTGTCATAGAAAATATGGGTCAGATCCATGAGTTATAAATTGTCCATGTTGTCACAGAATGTATCATTTTATCACCATATGCATAGTATTTTATCACCATAGACTGTAGCCTGGCTTTCTAACTGCTGTTAGTGTCACTCACATGGAATGGGTCAAATGAGGAAACATAACCTCACCATCGGTATAAACCTGTCATTTTTTGAGTTGCCAGGAGTATTTTCTTTCCTGATTTTTTTTTTGGGGGGGGAATCAAAATTAATGCCATTGAAGGGGAAAACGTACTTTTAAAGATTTACCAAATATTTTGGTGGGGGCGGAGTAAGGGAATTTATATTGAGTGCCTTGAACTTGCTAGACAAGTGTTCTGTGCTTCAGCCCTCAAATCTTTAAATCATACATACTGTATACTAGTTTGTTTCCTAAAATCATTTGTAAGAGTCAAGTACTGGTCATTGTGAGAATTATGCTACTTCAACTAAAGTAATACTAGAAGTAATGTATGTTTGGAAAACCTGTAACCAATAGGCAGTAGAAACCGATGAAGCAATTGAAGAGGAAGTACCAGATTCACCAGGAATAGAAAAGCAGGACAAAGAAAAGGACCAGAAGGATCTTAAAAAACTTCGTTGTAAGTAGTTCTTTACTTTTCCTTCTTTTAATGGTTCGAATGAGCTTCTTCCCTTAGCTTTTCACAGATTTTAAATAAATCCCTATATTAAAAACTGAGTGGAACAGCCAGTGTAGAAAAGTTACAAGATTAAGCAGTCACAGGTCAGTATTTTTGTACTTTTTCTTGTTAACTTATTATTGTCATTTTTTAGCCTTTGTAGTATGTAGCCCTGTGTATCTTTAATTTTATAATCATGATTCATATTAATTATGATATTGTGATACTTGAAGAGAAAATATATTATTATAATACACTTCTGTTGAGGCCTTTGAAGCTAAACTTGATCAACTCACAGACAAATAATGACTGTTTAAGATTCTGCATAGAATATTATACTTTAAGAAGTTCAAAGTCATGAGATATGTCCCATAATTCCTTGGGCACCAGGCAGCTGTCTCTGGACTAGGATGTGTCTGTGCACATGCACAGATGCATGTACTCTCATAATCTCCAGATTATATATATAGAAAGGAGCAGAGCTAAAGCCAGCCATTTTAAGAAAAGCATTTTCTAATGTGTTCTCTTTTGAAGTCTGTTATTGAAGTAGGCCATTAACTATAACTCTGAACTTTTTTCAGTCCATTTTAATTAATTCACATGTTCAACTGAGAGTTGTCTGGCCTTTCAAACGGAATGATTAGAAAATCAGTTCTACTTTTGTCCTACGTTCTAACGAAGATTAAGTCTCTTTTACTGACACTGTAACCATGCAGCAATGTCAACACAAAAATTGTTTTTATTTTTGCTAATATGTTCTTGGTTCTCAGATTTCTCCAAAGACAGTTATTTTTAGGAAATATAATTTTAAAGTTTTTGATAGTGTGACCCCTAAATCAGGACCAAAGATAATGCAGAATATTTCCAGGTGGTCCCATTCTTAGGTCAGAGAACAAATAATTTTGATGAGAGTTAGCTTCAAGTACAAATATATTTATTATTTAGACTCAATAGGATATTAATTTTTATTAAAGGATTTTGTGTATATGTGTGGAGCCATTTTACCTTCTAATGCTGGTGGAGAGTCAAAGAAGATAAATAGAATCATTTATGAAATAATGAGTAGATATTAGAGTAACTTCAGGATGTCTTGACACATCCTTGTGGTCAGTTTTTAGTTATAAAAATGAAAAGTTTTGCTTAAAATTGGGTCTGTGTTAATTTGATTGTCCACATGTTTCTCTTAAACTGCATTAAAGTTAGAATAACTAAAATTGTACTGTGATTTTGACATATGAGGTTACTGTGTTCTGAGTGGTCTCTGGAGAAACTTCTATCAGAAAAGTTTTTGTTTTATGAAATGCCTTATATCTGTTTGTCTTAAGCCATGAAAGTATCCAGCATAGATTCATCAGAGCAGAAAAAAACCAAGAAAAACTTAAAGAAGTTCCTTACACGACGCCCCACTTTACAAGCTGTTCGTGAAAAAGGTTATATTAAAGGTAAGTTAAAGAAGTGATTTTTATAATGTATGAATATTGACCAAAGTAACAAATAAGATGTTTCAAATTAAAATTGGAAAATTTCTAAATAGTGTAAGTTTTAACATTTTTTGTTCTTATAGTTTTCAAGTACCAGGATTAAAAGACATTTGAATAATTAATATTGGTGTTTCAGCGAACACATAAAATTTACATAAACTAAGCATCAAACAGGAATTAATGCCAAACTAAATTTTTAGGAATCCTGTATCAGAGGAGCCATATAGATGTGTTAAGTAGCACATTTTTAGAAGTCATGACAAGGAAGAATTTGGTTTTGCTATGTGAAGATCAGAAGTTAAGAGTTTTTAATAAACTATCACAAAGTAGTTTGAAAAAATGAGTAATTTTGTTTTGATTTTTTTTTAACTTTGGCTCTCATTTAAAGTATTTTTTCCTGAATGTATTGTACATTTCTTATATATAAGCACCACAATATACTAGCAAGATTTTTTTTTTAATCATTTTTACATTTACCTACATGTTGTATACATTATCTGGGCTGCCTCCCCTCCCCCCAGAACCTGTTCTCCGCTCTTGTTCTCCAAAGATCTTTGTTTTTAAATAGTAAAATATTCTTTAAAATCACATGTGACTTCATATATCTGTAGTTCTTACGAGTTTGTTTAGTTAATTATAAAGGTGAAATTTTTTGATTTGAGACTCAAAACAGTTCTACTTATTCAGAAATGGAGGTAAAGGTAATATATCTGTATCTGATTATGAGGTTTGTAACAAAGCCATCACTAGAACATTTGCTTAACCAAGTGTCTAAATTAAAATACAAAAAATGAGTCTCATTGAAAAGGTATTTAAGATTCCTAAGAAGAGGAATTATTCCAATTATTGTCCTTAGGAGTAATGGATCAACAAATACTCATGAATAAAGTGTGTGAACTGGCATGTCTAGTTTAAAATAAAAGCCAAACAAAGGGCCTGGTTGAGTGACTCAAGTGGTAGAGCACCTGCCCAGCAAGCATGAGGCCCTGAGTTCAAGCCCCAGTGCCACAAAAACAAAAAACAAAGCCTGACAAGTAAGTTAATAGAAACAGCTGTTGATTTGTTCATCAGGCCTTTTCATTGAGAAATATAAACCATTCTCACTTCATAGGGTTATTCATCACTTCAACCATTTTATTTTCCTAAATAATTAGCACTAATATGGAATTTCTAAACCATTGGGCTAAAGGATTAATGAAACCCCTTTGAAACATTTTTGGAATCAAATATTGGCTCATGATGGGCATGTGTATGCTTGTTTCCATAGTTTTTTTAAAAAATAATTGAATATTTAAGTGCTAAGCATGAGCACAAGCGTCATGAATTCCTGTTGGTGTTTAAGAACTACAAGGTCTCTGCCCTCGTGGAACTGGAATTTAGGCTTGTCTTACAGACAGGATAATTTGAAACAGTGATAATAAAATTAGAAAGTACCTGGAATTGAGTTGTTGTAAGAGTTGGCAGAGGGTTTTTCTAAGTTGGTGACATTTTTAGCTGAGACCAGAAGTGAAGAGATGAAGCAAAATTTGGGGGGAAAGTGTTCTTTGCATTAGGAATAGAAAATACAAAGGTTCTTAGGCAAGAATGAGTTGTGGTATTCATGGTGTTTAGTAAAGAAACATCACTTAAAGTGAAATTGCAGAAGTAGGTAGGGTACCGAGATAGGTCATGGCAAATGGTATTGGGATCCACTGGATGTTTACTATTGCTCTTTGAATAGTTTAACCATTTCCTGAACTAAAATTTCAGCAAGCTGGCTCATTTTTTTTTTTTAAACAAATCTCTTTCAGATCAGGTATTTGGATCTAATCTTGCGAATCTGTGTCAGAGAGAGAATGGCACAGTGCCAAAGTTTGTGAAGTTATGCATTGAGCATGTCGAAGAACATGGTAAGAGAATGATTTTGATTTTTTTTTTTTACATGTTAAGCAAACCACTCATTATTTTGCCATCAAAATCCCTAGGGTTTTTATGATCTTGAGTGAGGCAACCACTCAAGATCATAATCTTAATATTAATATTCTCTTAATATTAAGAGAAGCATTTTGCTTGCAAAAATGTACTGTTTGCACCTGTTTCAAATTAAGACCTCTGTAGGCACTTATTGAATATTTAATATGTTGTGGTTAATTAAGTGTATTGTATTTTTTGAAGCCATTTGGAGTTGCCTGTTTTCAACTACAGTTGAAAACAGTAGTGTTTGTGAAACTGAGTTTATTAAGGGCTGATATGATAGTGTATAAGATCTGAGGAGATTGTATTAGATTTTATTCTGTTATAATAAAAATGAGAGGACATTTTAAAGTTGTTAAATCAACTGTAAAGAATCTAAACAGATAAATCCTTAAATTAATTTCTAGTTTATTTATAATATTCTAGTTTATTATGAATTACCAGTATATTGGCTGTAATCACATTAACTTATATCTGTAAATAATTAGAAACATCTTGTCCAATTAAAACACTTGTGTGATTTAATTTGTAGTTTCTGCAGTTTCGGATCTTGTTTCATTGACTTATCAACGTGACAATAAAGACAGCGCACTACTTGTCTTTATTCAAATTGGATACTATGCTTTGTTAAATCTGTAGCATCATCACTAGATGGATATCTGAAGTTTTCAGGCTAAATTACGTGAATTTCAAATGATTCTGTTTCATACCTAAAGAAAAGTAATAAACTATCAAATGATCCATTGTTTTCTAGAACCATTAGTTGTTAGCTCGTATTAAGTTTATTTACCCTAAGCATTGAATATAGAAAACTCTTTGAAGAGAGTTCTTCAGTATGTGCATTTACATTTATGAAATAGTTTGCAAATAAAAGGATTGGCTGATCTTCAGCATTTTTTGTTTTTGTTTTTTTTGGTCATACTGGGGCTTGAACTCAGGGCTTCTCGTTTGTTAGGCAGGCACTTCACCTGAGCCATTCTGCCAGCAGGATTGGTTGATCTTATCTACCTGCTTCATTTACTTTTTAAAACTGTCCCCAGGTGCTTACAAAAGTTTACCTTAATTTGTTAGTATTTTAAATTTAATGAGAGGTTTTCCTTGAGTTAACCCATAGTCTGTGTGATGAGCAAAATAAAATTATTGTTGTTTGTGAAACAGAAATCACTATGAATTGCCACCCTTCTTTCTTTCTAAGAGTCTACAAAAAGCAATTTGATCTTATGCTAAAGCTAATAAGTAAGAACGCTGAAGCTGGCTAGGGTGGTACTGGCCTGCAGTCCCAGCTACTTAAGAGGCTGAGGCAGGACAGATCACTCAGGATTTTGAGGTCAACCTTGGTAACATAGCAAGACCCTTTCTCTAAACCAAACCATCCAATCCAATCCAACAGCTGACATGGAAGCATCTTCAAAAGAGGCAAACAAGTGCTTTTAAATGTACTATGTCATTATCTCATAGGTCTGGATATTGATGGGATCTACAGAGTAAGTGGCAATCTTGCAGTGATCCAAAAGCTGAGATTTGCAGTTAATCATGGTAAGACTATGTGCCTTATTGTTACATCTCCAAGTGTCATTCATATCCTTTAAAATTGGGTTAAAGTAAGTTTTTAAATTTTGCTATTCCTACTGATTTTCAGATGAGAAATTGGACCTGAATGATAGCAAATGGGAAGACATTCATGTCATCACTGGAGCACTCAAAATGTTTTTTCGAGAATTACCAGAACCTCTTTTTACATTTAATCATTTTAATGACTTTGTTAATGCAATTAGTAAGTATATAATTCCACTCATGTTTTTGTTTTTTTTTTTTTTTTTTAAAAGATACTGAAAATCCTTGTACAGATTAAGCCACCACATTCTGTTCGATCTTTCTTATTTTAGACAAGTTTTTTCAATGAGTTGTTTTATTCCGGAAATATTTGACCACCAGATGTCACTGTGTATTGTGAAATCTCAGCTTCCAAACCATCATTGCTTTCAGTTTCCTAAGAATTTACTGCAAGATATCTAGTTGTTACCTCTTTTTCAGAACAAGAACCAAGACAGCGCGTTGCTGCTGTTAAGGATCTAATCAGACAGTTGCCCAAACCAAATCAAGACACAATGCAGATTCTTTTTAGACACCTCAAAAGGTAAGAGAATTACACCATTAGGATGTCTGATATATGGTCGAGTACATTGGGAAGCTCACAAGGACAGTGCTACCCAGACCCAAATTTGATTCCCAGTTGTGCCACTTGCTGTCTTTATAACTTACAAAAAGGTATTCGGCTGTTTGTAGTGTCAGTTCATTATAGATATAGTGGTTTGGTGTTAAGACTACATTAAAATAGGTATTGTATGCGAAGCGTTCATATAATGATTAGCACATAGTAGGCATTAAACATTTTTACTGAAGTTAATGTGCAGGTGAAATTGATTACTAACTGAGGTATATTAAATTACCCTAAAATAAACTCATCATGGCTCTAGGTTACTACATAGCCACTTTAGTAATTGATTTTGTTCATCTTAAATAAATATTAGAATATTGAAATAAGTGATACCAGTTAAAGAGATCTTTTTTTAAAAAAGAAACATAAAATTCAAAGTTTTAATCTTTGTGGCCTAATGAAGTAAGCGTTCTCCTCCATTAACCTAGGGGATGGATCATTGTTACCTGAATTGTAAGATATGTTTAAGTCTCTGTCCTATTTTAATGATTAAAATAAATTACCAAACATTAAAGTTTGTTACAATATGCATAATTGTACCTTTCAGCTGTGTTTATTCAAAAGCAAACTTCATATGGCATTCAGGCTGAATTCCACTTGGTTAAAAAAATTTATGTGTTAACTCTAGCAAAGTAAGCCTTATTTATCTTTTCTAAACATAGACTGTTAGGTTTATAATACAATTTGAAATTTTTCCCTCTTTTTTTATTTTCTCTCTCTCTTTTTTTTTTTTTTTAAACCCCCCTTTAGAGTTATCGAAAATGGAGAGAAAAACCGAATGACCTATCAGAGTATAGCAATTGTTTTTGGTCCTACCCTATTAAAGCCAGAAAAGGAGACTGGTAATATAGCAGTTCATACTGTGTACCAAAATCAGATTGTAGAACTAATTCTTCTGGAATTAAGTGCCATCTTCGGACGTTGATTCTTAATGGAAGACAACCTGCGGAACAGAAGCTGGATTCCATCAGACTTCATATCTTTACACATGATGTATTTTGTTTTTGGACCAAGCAGTGACTCTGATTTTGCACTTTTTTGAGGGACTGGAAAGGAAGGGGGAGTGTGAAGATGTCTGCTAGGCCCTTATATTTGCTGCTTTGTTGCAAGGTGATATGACTGTAATTTTGGATTCATTTTATCCTGAATGTTTGCATTTCATACTCTGAATAACAGTAAAAATCAAAGCTCAGATTTCTAACCAGTCATATACACTGGATAATTTGGTAAGAAGAACTACATTTTTTCCTTCTCAAACTGGATAATGTAGAATTTCTTCTCATGACTTGTAAACTCTTCATGAGGTAGAACAGTACTATCAGTTACTTTGAAAACACTCTTGGGCATTTAAAACAAGATGAAGTATAACTATTCTGAAACCTGTGTATTTCTTTTTCAGGGTTTCTGCATGCAGTGGCAGTCTAAGTACTAAGAGTCACTAGAATCCACATGTCCCTTGATGAAGGCTTGCTGTCTTTTACTGTGTTGCACAGCATCCTCATAGGATATCTTAGTTGCTTGTTTGAGCAGCACACTAATATTACTTAAAACACTGTGATATACTGGAGTTTTACTTAGTGTAAGTCAGTTCAGGGTATTTTGGGGCTGTCTTGCTATACTGAATTGTAGCTAACAATCCTGATTATATCTAGTGCCATATTGAATTTTTGGTATCACCCTGTGGAAATGGACATTATTTGATGTAAATATGGGCTAAAGACTTAATGTCTTTTAGCTTATGTATAATTGTGTTGTATAGTTTCAGAGCACATTCTAACCCTACATTTCTAATCATGATATTATTGGTAATATTTTCCATGAATATTAGGTTGCCTCCAGAAATAGGCCATTATTTGGGGAAGTTAACTGTGTGCACTTTTAGATTTTAATTACATTTAACAGGCAGATCACTGTAATGCAAATGGTACTGGAAAAAAATACTGAATAGACTTGCTAAATGGTAAATGCACTACAAGAGGAACCTTTTAGAATATTTAATATGTACAGAATATGTTAGAAAAATTATTACAGAATTCTAACTCTGGTTTGAATAGTGGAAACCCACATGTAAATTAGATGGACGTTGGATGGAAAATGACATTTGCTAAATTTGAGAATTTCTTTTTACATTACTAATGTAGATTGATTTGTATAATAAAACAAGGTTTTGGAAGGTTTTGTTACAGGGAGCATGGTCTGTTGAAAATTTTTTAAATGTATTTTTCTAGATTAATTGCTGTATATGAAATGTTTGATCTAATAAAGAAAACTATATGAGGTTTAGCGATTTCCACTGAAGCTGTGCATTTTGGTTCTTTATTTTTTGTTTTTCATTTACTCTTAATACCTCATTTAAAAAAAAATCAATGGAATCCAATGTTTCCTATGGTAGATACTTTTTCCTCATTCCATAGCTTTTCTGTTCTTTCCATTCCCAACACACGCTTTTTATTTCTTCATCAATATTTGAAAGTGAATGACTTGTGACCATGACTCTTTTTCCTAGGATTGCATTTATAATTTATAGATTGCCTTCTTGGGAACAAATACCTTTTTGATCTAAGAAACCACTCTCTGAGTCATGTGGTTAAGATATTGTATTTGTTGTTGTGATCTTGTTAAATAGATAACAAGCCAAACTACTTGACAGCTAAAGCAGATTGTTTTGGGTGAGAAGTTCCAAATCAGAATGTTTATATTTGCCTAGAGATGTCATTAATAACACGATATGCTTTAGGGCTGGCTTGTGTCTTGATTGTATACCTGGAAAACATTTAGACTCAAATCTGTGATCTGTGATGTTCTTTCTCTTGGTGGTCATGAACATATCAAAGATTAAAACTGTCCTGTGTTCCTTGTTTCAAAGTACATATGTGTGTATGTGAAGTCTTAAGTGTTTTATTAGTCTACAGCTAATCATTTATTGTAATATTGTACAATGAGATCTGTCTTGTGTTTTCACCCTTTGTGAATTAAAAATTCTCACTTGTTTTTGTAATAGCAAAGCCAGTAATATTTTCCTGTCTTAACAGCTTGATTTTTTGGTAGAAAATATATTAAAAGCTAAAAATGAATTATCAGTGGAGTTTCATTTACTAGTAGTACATCTTTCAGAATATCATTTGGAAATTGAAAAGAAAAAACTATATTCAAAGACACTATTGCAATTCCAATTAGAAAAGTACTTTCTGGAATTTTATAGCAATGAGAAATTTTACCTTTTACTTTGGAGAATGTAAGATAATTATGAAATCTCTCTGGAAAAAAATGACACATTTTAAAGGCAAATCTGTAATTTTTTTTCTTCTTGTGTGAAAATCACAAGTGGAATAATTCAGGTAAACTTGGGCTTAGGACAAATAGGTAATATGTGTGTTTATAACAGATATATCCTCCCCTGTCCCCACACATAGACATGAACATAAGTATGTAAATGCCATTGCTTACATACAAATGAACCCATCAGTAGTAGTGATAAAACACTAATAGCAGATGCCTGGAGACCTTGGTACTATTTTAGTTTCAGTCCATGCTCTTTGCAAGCCCATAATATTGGATATGAAGATTGTGGGGAGATTTCTAATTAAATATTTGAAGTGTCTCATGATACTAATTCTTCAGACATCTGTAGGTGTTTTTGAAGACTATGCAGAAGAGTCCACAATCTGTCATTTTAGTAAAGAATAAAATAACAATACTCAAACAGACGCCACATTCTCACTGGTCTAATAAAAGTCAAATGTTCTTATCTTTCCTCTAAATAGAGGATTGAAAGTTGTTAGATAATAAGATTTTGTGAAGTGTTCTTTTCTCTAGACTCCATCAGTACTTGTTTATAGCAAGCACTTCTCCAGTGTGCTACTAGAGAAGATGTTTTAATGGATACTTCAGCCTGTGTGCTGCAGAGCTGGAGGTGGTACACAGTTTTTTTGTTGCTGTTTTTGTTTTAAACTATTCCAGTACAACTAATATAGTCCTCTGAAATGCAACTTTAGTTTGAGATAAAAGGAATAAAACAAACAAGCAAATGGGTATGCAAAACAAAACTGGTAGCCTCACAATAATGGTGAATTTGAGTCTTTTGGAAATTCGAAAGCTTTAAACTGGGGCCATGCAGAATCACACTTAGTATTCCAGAGAAGTGGGAGGCACAGAATGCCTAATGAGGTGTTCTATTACTGCTAAGACAAGGGAGGTCACCCAAAGAATCTCAATTAGTCTTCTCAACTGAAGTTCTGTGGGCCAGTGGTGGCAGTAAAGCTGGATTGAGCTTTTATAAATTAGTCTTACATGATTATGGCACTTAAATGAACTCTTTCATTTCCTCCATTGCTTCCCTTCTCCCACAGAGGGGAAAAAGGAAAGAAAAAAAGCACTTTTATAATACTCTCATATGAACAGAGCACTTGTAGAACAAGTTATCTGTTCAACAAACCACAATACATATTTAGAAAAGTCTAGTTTCTTACTTTTTTTCCTCATCAACTCTCCCCTTTTATTTTACTTACTCTCTTAGTGTTTTTAGAAAAGCAGACTTTGTTAAAGATGTGTAATTATTTATGCTGCTAGCCAAATCTTTCAGGTAGTTCTGATAATTACAGCTTTTTTGGCAGGTAGCATGGAAACAGTGAAATCCAAGCATCAGAAGCATCAAAAATGACAAATGATGCTGTAGAGTCTGTTTGTCAACAGGGCCTTTGCAGAGGTACAGATCCAAATCACCATAAAGTCATGGTACAGTGACCTAGAAGATTCTGCAGAGCACTCAAGGCTTCCTTTTCTCCTTGGGTATTTTGAAGATTATACTTAAGAATGGGAGTCTTAGATGCTCAGGAAAACTCAGATCTTGTTTGTGGTAGTGCCCCTCACTCTCAGGAGATGCATTCCATCATTGATGGATGCCTGAAACAACACAGTGAACTCAGCACATACGTTTGTTCCTCTTTATCCATGAGTTCCACATTTGTGTGTTCACCCAGCCATGGATGGAAAATATTTTGAGGGGAAAAACTGTACTGAACATATGTACAGGTAGATTTTTTTTGGTCATTCTTTAAAACAATCCATTATAACTATTGAGCACTTGCATTGTATCGTAAGTAGTCTGGAGACAATTTAAAGTATATGGGAGGGCGCACATAGATCATACATGAATACCATACCATTTTATATCTTGAACATCTGCAGATTTTAGTACCTGCTTCAAGGGAAGTATTTTGGAACCCCAGCACACTAGGCTTTTTCCTATACATCCTGCACCACTGCCACATAATACCAGTGTTAATCTGCCCTTCAGTGTTTTATACACTGGTGCCTTCCCTACATGACTATACTTTCACTTTGGGATCATTATTAAGTTCAGTTACTTGAACGTAAGAACTGTGGTACATAACAGTTGATCTCATAACCCCAAATGGCTACTAAGTGACTAATGGGCAAGTAGTATATACAATGAGGGTATTTTGGACAAAGGCATGATTCTTTTCTTAGGCAGTATGGAGTAGAATGGTATGAGATTTCATCTCATCCAGAACAATGAACAATTTAAAACTTACGAATTGTTTGTTTCTGGACTTTTCCATGAAATATTTTTGGCTCACCATCACAGTTGGCCACAAGTAACTGAAATGATGGAAAACAAAATTGCAGGCAAAGGGGTATGACTGTAACACATATGTTAGTGTGTTCACTACCACCATTTTTTCCTCACGTGGTTTATTTATGTGACATCTTGAAAGTTCTATTTTTCTTGTACATACTATGTACATTTATTATGAATATAGAGGTGACAAGGATAGACACTTCTATTATTTCTCACTCTAGTTGTGTAGGAAGTAAATCAGCATTCCTGTCCTCCTGGACTTAATAGTTCTATTTCTATCCACTGTCATTCAAGGACAGACCATAATGTATATTAATCTCTGTTTAATAAGGGTATATTGCTACATAATTGGGCCCATGTATTGAGAATGTCATAACTGTCCAGTACTTGCTGACATGAAGTAAGGAGAGTTTGTCAAACAGATACAAGAACTGTTGAAGGCCTTGATGAAGCTTAGTTTCAATAATGAAACCTGGATCTAAACAACATGGATTGATCTGACATGATACCATGTGAAGTGTGCTCTGAAGTGTCAGAAAAAGCATGAATTAAACAGCAGTAGTAATTCACATACTTCCTATATTAAAGTTATGTAGAAGGGATTCTGGGAAAATGTGAACAGTATAATTTTTCAGTACCTCATTAAAACTATGCTAATGACATTAACAAAAAACTCCAAAGGTGGAAACAGTACACCAATAGCCCAAAGCATTGCATGGTGTGGTTTGTGTGAGAGGGAAGGAAGCAGTGGGGTAGCATCTGATGGGTCTGAGGACAGAAGAACCTCAATATTACCATCAGCTCAGCCGTTTCGAGTAATCAAAACCAATTTGGCACAGCTCCCTTCCAGGACAGAACCTCATACTGAGGTAGAATTGCTGAAAAGTGGAATAAAAGTTCAACAAGATAGAGGCAGTAGACAAAAGAGGTTGTGTAGATCAAAGGGGAAGGGTGCCTTGTGCCAGTGGCTCACACTTGTAATCCTAGCTACTTAGGAGGCAGAGATCAGGAGGATTGCCATTCAAACCCAGCCTGGGCTAATAGTTTGAGAGACCCTATCTCAAAAAAACCCTTCACACAGAAAGGCTGGTGGAGTGGCTGAAGGTGAAGGTCCTGAGTTCAAGCCCCTGTACCACAAAAAAAGGAAGGGAAGTAAAGCCAGGAAAGCCCCAAGGTAAGCTGCTGTTCCTTTAAACACAATGTGCAAAACACAGGATGAATGCTGTGGAATTAAAGCCTGAATCCTGTCACATTCCACAACTTCAGGAAATCTAACTGTATAAAAGTAAGCAAATAGTCTCTAGGTTAAATATCATATAAATTATACATAGAAAAAGAACAAGGAAACTAACACCCCAATGGGAAATGGAAGATGTTAAGGCACCCACAAAACTGCAGTGTACTTACTATTGCAAAATGATCTGAAGGTATTTAAGAAATGAAATGACATGGAAGAACTACATAAATCAGAAGAAAGATGAACAGATGACTCAAAAGTATTTCAGAACTGAAGACTAGAAGAAATGTAAGGGCAGACACAATAGATAATGCTTTAAAAGATGCAAAAGGGATCACTTTAAAAATCAAAACTGAAAAAGTTTTTTTAAAAATTAAAAGTGACATTGAAGAAAGGTAAAATCAATTACATAAAATGAAGGCAAACAAATAACTAGAAGTTATACTTCCAGTACATT